ACCGAACCAGCGTGGTACGGGACCGGACAATTATGATACCGAACTGAAAAATGAGGTTTGAAACGGATCCCAAATTTTTTGTTCTGAACCAGACCGAAGTACGGTTTAAACGTACATGTATACCATTGTGTGGGTTTATTTTTTGTGATTTATGTTTTGTACGTCTTAAATTACATCTCAAATTAAGTAAATGTAAATCTACATATCAAATTAATATTTTTTATTCATGTTTTGTACTACTATAATTTATCTGAAATTTATTAATTATGTAATAAAAAATTCATTTAAAGAACTGGAAAAAGTGTCATTGTTTGGTATTGATATGACATGGTACCGTCCTGTTTAAAAATGGAGCCGTACCGAATGGGTTGTTACGATTTAACTAACGCAATACGAAGAACAATAAGAAAGAACATACGAAATTTGGTAACACGGCCAGTTCGCCACAAAGGACTATGTCTGGGGGCGCTACCAAGCCAGGATGTTACTATTATTTTCTGATCATGATTACAAGAAGAGAGCTTGTATTTATAGAGAATAAAACTTAACTCCAATACTAATAGGACGCGCGGCCCAACCAGTACAAAACTCTCACCTTGAGACTGACTTCTTCAAATCTTCCCTTCTTAGCATGGTAGCGCCGGCCTTCATCTTTAAGTATCAGGGCCAATTGAAGCTATGCAAAGCTTCAATTTCTCTAAGGTTACCACCTTAGTAAACATGTCTGCTGGATTCTCACTCCCACGAATCTTCACAAGCTGCAATGTCTCTATCTCCAGATGATGACGGATGCAGTGATACTTCAACCGAATGTGTTTGGTTCTCTTGTGAAATGCTGAGTTGTTTGCCAAGAAAATAGCATTCTGACTGTCACTGTAAAGTATGTTATTCTTGTACTCCTTTCCAAGTTCCCCAAGTAAATTCTGAAGTCACACCAACTCCTTGCTTGCTTCGGTTAGGGCCACATATTTAGCTTCAGTGGTAGATCAGCCAACAGTTGGATCGACGGAATGGGCTTGGTTATACAGTCTCTAACACCTTACACGGGTTTAGGTCTAAGACTGAACCAAAGCGGGTTGTTTCAATAGTCACGGCACAGTTACGGATTCGGCAAATATTGGACCATCCTGGACCATTCACACTCCTAGACATTGTGGTTCATATTTTTGTGAAAAATTCCTAAAATTATATAAAATTGTGGGAAACGAGAGAAATATGAATGATTAATTTTTTTTGTTCATTTTTCTCGTATTACATGTGCACCGTGCACATTTTTACATTGCATATGCTCTAATGTTTTACAATTAAAACTTATTGTCCGTGTTGTCGGTGATCGAGTTCGTCCTAGACTCCTAGTCCATATACACATGTCATCATATTATGCGTAATCATAAATGAACCCCAAAATTTTGCCCAACACAATCAAAGATAAAATAATCATTGAAATAGACAAATGAGGAATGTAAATTTATTTTGTAATGGGTGGAGGAAAATCTTGACAGATTTCTGGTTAATGAAGATTGGTTGACACATTTTGGGATGGCTAAGGTTGTTTCATTGGAAGCTGCTGCTAGCGACCACTTAGCTCTTTTTATGAAGCTGATTAGGTCAGAAGACAGATGGGAACATCGTCCTTTTAAGTTTAAAATCAATGGATTCGTGTAGATGACTGTAGAGAGGTGGTGAATAGGAGTTGGAGGGCAGGTGGAGACTGGGCGTTGTGGGATAGGTTGAAACTGTATGGTCAAGAACTTCAACTATGGGGAAGATCGAGAACAAAAGGTATTGGATGTCAAATTCAGGGTTGCAAACGTCGTCTGGAGTGACTGCGAAATAAGACGGGCGAGCGTAGTCTAGCAGAGTTTACATGAGTAAAGGCTTCTTATTTGGAACTAATGTAAAAAAAATGAGGTAGAGGGCCAAAGAATTTTGGCTTATGGAAGGTGATATTAATACTAAATATATTCACAATGCGATGAAACATCGAAGGAGAAAAAATAGAATGATGGGGTTAAAGAATGATACCGGCACTTGGGTTACTGACCGAGGGGAGCTGGGCAAAATGGTGTTTGAGTATTTTACCGATATTTTCACTACAACAGGTTCTGCAGGTGGTGTGAGAGCTTTAACGGGAATGGGCAGAATACCTTTGGAGAGGAATGCTGAGTTGTTGAAGCCGATCACTTATGAGGAGGTTAGAAGGGCGGTTTTAACATGCATCCGAATAAAGTGCCAGGACCGGATGGGATGAATTCAGGGTTTTTTCAAGCATACTGGGATATTGTGGAGGTGTGGTGGTTAGTTTTTGCTTAAATATGTTTCAGTTTGGACAGGTTCTGGGGGCTATGAATAAAACCAATCTTGTTCTAATACCAAAAAAAGGAGCAACCGCAAGGGATGGGGGATTGGAGGTCTATGGATTTTTGTAATGTGTTAAGATCTCGGGTTCCATCCTAAAAGGTCAACCTGATAGGAGGAGTAGCCCAAAGCCTTATATAATGTTTTTATTGTGTTATAGCTTTCCGGACTTCCGGTGTGGGACAAATACTTAACACACCCCCTCAGCCCGAATCTGACTGGACAATTTCGGGGTGTATAAATGGGCCAAATAAACCCTTAACAAGTTAACCTTAATCATGAGTGCTAAACATGTAGTCAAACCATGACCAAACTTGGATCTGATACCATGTTAAGACCCGAGGCTTTGAGATGGGTTGGCCGGTCCGCCTCATGGTGTGCACCGGTCATCTCGTCTCTATTGTCGGTGATATGCTCATGGCCTTAATTGGCCGGGTCGTGCCTCCGGCGTTGTTACTTTGAAGAAATTAGAGTGCTCAAAGCAAGCACAATCCTTTAGTTCTGTCAGACCTGTTGTTTTTGCTAACAAAATAATGTTATGACATTATCGTTTTGGCTACCGCAATTTCAGTTACTTACAACATTCGTTTCCAGTGTTGTTTCGACATAAAAACATATCTTGTTCTAAAAAAAGGGTTTTTGTCTTCAAAAATCTTCACATTCATTGGGGTGCTTGTCTTCAAAAAGCTTCGCATTCGCTAGTGAATTCTTCAAAACCGCGCTTAATATAAACGGTTGATAGTTTGTAATCTTGTAGTTCATATTTCAAATAAATATACATTCTTTTTTTACATATGTAGCACTTCTCAAATTAATTAATTGGTCACAAACTTACAACTTACAACTTAGAATTAATTATATTAGTATTTATTAGAAAATGTATTTCATATTTAAGTTGTATTAATAAGTAAAAAAAATTACATAGGCCCGACCTGGCGGGTGGCCCGGCCCGGGAACCTGGCGGGTGGCCCGGCCCGGGAACCGGGCGGGTGACCCGGCCCGAACCGGAACCGGGCGAAGGACGAGCCGGTTCCGGGCCCCCCATTCCAAAACCGGAGGCCCGACCGGGCCTATACTAGGCCCGGCCCGAGTTCAGGCCTAGTTGGTAGTGTTTGGTAAATAAGTGCTTTTGGGGTAATAGAAAAAGTAAAATACACTTTTTGCACAAAAGTCGAGAAACGCTTTTTAAGTAGAAGTTGTTACTTGAAAACACTAATTTTAGCTTTTTTAAGCCAAAAGCTAAGAAACATTTTTTTTAAGCAGTTGCAAACATTCCCTTAGTTTCGGTGTTTCCAAATGACATCATAATACCTGAATGGCCAAATGGGTGATTGTGAACCGAGTAAGATAGGTTTGTGCATTTTTAACGAGAAACTGCATTGTCAAGGCCACTCCAGGACCAAAACATTAACCTCAAAATATGCCACTGGCCACTCCACTACGATTGCATTTTAAAGATCTTCAAAATCCAGTCCAAAACACAAATTATACCGTGAGATCGGCCCACCTTGCGCCTGGTGTGCCGATCCCAAACGGTGCCTTTTTAATTAATAAAAATCACTCTATCCTCTTCCGATTTGAATGGCCACGACCCATGACCAGTTCTTGAACTCCCCTCCAAGAAATCTCAGGCTCATCATCGGTGGCTGCTAGGCATCTGACAGTGGGTTGGATTCTTCTTCTAGTTCGTAGTTTGTTTTGCTTGCTAGTTTCTTCATCTCAATCCAAGCTCCATGACTTTCTTGTACCTCTCGATGGGGATCAAATCCAACGAGTTATTGGAGATGCTAGGGCCTGGCCGCTTGACACAAGAAGGATTTGATCTTACGGCCTAAATATGAGATTGGGGTTGTGCAAGGGATAGGCATCCATGGAACTCAACTATTTGTTCAAGTTTCTGCGGGGCATATGCATCCATGAGTATATGAGAAAAGTTTCGTTAATATTAAAATGATTTACATTTTTTTTATCTCAAGTTACATATCTATTAACGTGACTTATATGTCAACTTTTCTCAGCAAGTTACATCCTGCTTACAAATGATTTGGAATTTTCATAAGGCGAGTTACATCACAATATAATGTGAGTTACACACAAAAAAAAGAAAAAAAAAAACCTCTGCTATTGAAAGAAAATTATTTTATAAAAATCATTTTTATACAAATAAATATATAAAAATGTTTTTTATCCAAATAATTTTTATAAAAACTACATTTCAAGTGGTATAGCAAGTTGAGAGAGTAAACAAAGTTACATATTGCAGTGCATGAGTTACATTTGAATACACTGAATTTACATTTCACAATAACGCGATTTACTGATTTACATATCAATACAAAGAATTTACATCACGGAAAAAATTGAGACAAATGTAATGTTACTGTTCACGCGAATTTTTTAAAGTTAAAACTTAAATCTAAATGACGACATTTTATGTGGGAGTGGGATATTCACCGTGGGATGATCCCACGGTATAACAACTTGTCCAAAACCGGACTCTTCTACTATATTCTACTTATAGCCTAGCAAGAACCATGTCACCTTTAATAATTAATATATTCACTTCCAATATGTAATAATTTCCATACCAGAGCAAAGCAATCGAAAACCGATCAAGAACCAGACTGCTGCAACTTATAATAAGTAGGTAATAACTCATTAATTTTGTTCGGGCAACACATGTAAAATAGGAATAAATCAAGTTCGGAGCAACGTTGATTACTTGACTTTACAAAATAATACCTTAAAATTCAGAAAAGAAGCGAAATTCCACTTGGATGAAATAATGGGGGAGTAAAGGGATTAAGAGTATGAAGCTACAATACAAATGTTCCAATCAGATCGACTCCAACAAGACAATTTACTTCACGAGATGACAAGAGACGACCAAACTATTTTCTGAATCCCAACAAAATAATAGTAACGTAACTTGCAAAAACAATACAAACATACGAGTAATAAATAATATATCACGCAAGATTTGCAAACAGATCAAAATTTTGTCCCTTCAAGCCAACAAAAGCACCACCACACCAACTAAGCCAATTCTCCATCCCATTCCCTTCAGACCAATCAGGAGAACCAGCCTTGAGACACTTCTTTACTGCTGCTTGCACTCAGGAGGCCGCTCACCCTGCTGGCCATCCACTGCAGGTGCCCGTCCGGTTTTCTGTTTATTGGTACACAATTAAATAATCAGTTCAACCCCTCTGTGTACAGCTAAAGATAGATCAAACTGTGTACATTTGAAAATTCATAAACAAAATGTGAAGACATACCTTGTGTGTAGCAGGAGACTGCACAAGGTTTCAAAAAAAGTAAAAAGGTTAGCAACGTATACAAAAAGGCCATGATGTAAAACATCATTAACAGTAGAGTAAACCTCGATCTGAATACCGAAATTCTTTTAATTGTCACAACTACATAAGAGGTTTATGGTCAATCAATGCTTATGTTGGGAACAAAAAATTTTATACGGAATAATAGTGCTTACCTTCTTCTTGGGCTTGGCATCTTCATCCTCCTCTTCATCATCGTCTTCATCATCTTCCTCATCATCTTCATCTTCCTCATCGTCTTCATCTTCCTCATCATCTTCATCATCTATTTCAAACTCTTCCTGAACAGCCTCACCTGTGAACCAAGACACAGCATGTGGAATGATTTTGTCTCGAATTGTTGACCTGCATAATAGTTGGCAACAAGGTTCTCAAAAACATAACTGAAATATGTAGACTACATTCACTCCATTTCATAGAGATTATCAATGGGAAAGAGTATTAATTTACCCAATTTCATAGTCCTGCTCCATCAAATTTTGGAGCTCCTCGGCCTGTAAACAAAATTAAAAGAAAGTTTTATCAAAAAAGGAGTAAAACAGAGATTTATTTAGTGACTAGTAAGAAAACAAGTCTATAATATAAATGCAGTTCATATACAGCATCTTCGTCAATGTCATCTTCATCCTCTGGAACTTGAGGCGGACTAAAGAAGTTGAAGAAACTGTCACACTTTTCAGTTTTAGTGATAGGTTTAGCATTCTTAGATCCCTTCTTGGGCTTCTTCTTCAGTATTTTCTGTGTCAAGGACTTTCCAGGATACCATTCTATCTCAGTCCTGCAAATAACACATACAATTGCATGTTAGTACAAAAACCTTTTAAGATGGCATTTAGTAATCAGCAAAATTCTAGATAAAATTGCAAAGGGGAAACAGAATGTTGTTGGACAAAGTTTTACCCAATCGCTTTCTCTAGAATTGGTTCATCTTCGTCGATCATGTGATACACTTTCGTCAAAACAGAATTCTTAAAAAATGGGTTGGTGTCAAAGCAAAATTCAAGCTTAAATCCCTTAGGTTCGTCAACTCTGGACCACTTGATGTCTCTTAGATATTTAAGAGCGCCTTCATCACGTTCTGTGATCTGTCATGAATAAGATTGTAGATGAAACATACAATACAGGTTCATCCATCAAATTGCTAAAATACACACAAATGAAATAAAGCATGTCTGGGTATGTAAACACAAAATATAACCTCTTCACACAACACTTCATTATTCTTCATAGCAGTAAGCCAGAAATCAGGGACTCCATTTCCTATATGAAAAGGAAAAAGTTTAACAACATAAATCAGAATAAATGAACAAACTGTGTCAATTTCACCATTGCAACTCACCTCCATCTGCAGGAGTTTCTGATTCATTCCCTTCTACATCAACAACTCCATTTACAATTTCATATCTCTGTTTACAGCCAATAGCACTTTTAAGCATATGAAACATTAGATGCAGGTTGTACAATGATCTTTATTCCATACTAACCTTTGAATATAGTGGTTGATAAAGTTTCTGGTACTTAGCTTCCAGTGCTGCCCTCTCTTCATTGAATTTTGCTTCCAGCTCATCATGTTGAGCCTGCTCAATCAAACAAATGAAGAAATATTAATAATAATAGTTAAGTTCAGATGTAAGTGTCCAAAACTTTAAATGTAATTCATACTCCGTATTACATTACGACCACTCGAGTCTGTTATATATAGCTAAAATCCAAGCAGGTGCATAAACAAAAGTCCAACAAGTAAACCAGTAAACAGACTTCCATACTTATTTTTGGAATCAGACATCTGGAGTATGATTTGCGGTGCTATTCAGGTATCATACCATGATAATAGATGTCACGCTCAAATGATACTTGCAGAAAAGGATCTCTATTTTCTTATTTTCGATAACAAATTTGTGTATTGATAGTAGAATCACCTCTTTTATAATGAGTAGAACTTCAATGCAGTTGTTTTATATCTAAATTTTATTTACTAACACTAAAATCAATATACAAAATAAAAAAAATGTTGGTTCAGAGGGAGTATATTCCCCTAAATTAACAGCTTTTTGTGCATGTTAATCACTCGATTAACTAGATAAAAGCTTTTCAAGCAATAATATAATTTTCAACTCAGGGCCAAATGGTAGAAAAAATAAAAGTTTGCTCAAATAGAAACTATAAGCATGATGATCTACATACAGAGTAACAAGTAAAAAGGCCACTATTTAACCAAAACGTGTATAAGTTCAACACACCTGAACCTCTCTGAGGACATCAACACGCTTTCTTACAATTGGAGACAAGTTCTCAAGCACAACCGAGTGTTTCCCAGTAAGATCCTGAAGCTTATTCTGCAATATTCACAAAGGAACTTAATCCACATTCTACACAAAAATGTGTACAAATGATCATGACCAGATTAAGAAAATCGATACAAAAAACAGGGAGAATCAATAATCTTACTTTGAGAGCACTGACAAGATCAGCTCTATCATCTGAATTCAAAGCTAAACAAAACGTAAATGAGTCACAAAAACTAATACAGTAATAAATAACCGCACTTTAGTGTAGTGAGGTAAATCCAATAAACTATATCAGAATTCCTACAAGCACACTAACAATCAAAGCTAAGCAAAAGTTAAACAAGTCAGAGATGGATATCGCGATTGCATATCCAAATATAAAAGTATGTATGGGGTATTTGAACTTACCAGCACGGAGATCGGACATATCGAGGGCGTCTTTGGCGTCGCTCATGGCTGAAGAAGGAATGAGGAGAGGAACAAAAAAAACCCTAGCGATAGAAGGGAAAACGAAGAGAGATAAAGCGCCTAGATTGAGGCCCTCTTTCTGCGCTCGTATTGCTGTCTCCCAGCGATTCCCAAAACCTAGCACCTTGCGGCTATTTATTTATTTAAATTGCAGGTCCGTTTGGGTATATGTTCAAATGTTCAATACTATCGTATTACCTTTCTCCTTTTTGGAAGTAGAAAACTTTCATAAAACTTGGCGAAGGTTTGTTTTGCAAGTTAATAAATAAAAAATGTGTGGTTTATATTTGTGCAGAAGAGAAAGAAATAACTTTAGTCACATATTTGTTATTTTAAATATAAATGGCAAAGTTTTTTGGGACGTCCAAAAAAGAAAAGTTGTCAAGTTTTATGGGACAGAGGTAGTATTTTTTCCAAAGTTTTCTCACTTGTTTGAGTATAATATATTTTTTATGTTAAGACCAACGTTTGTGAATCAAGATAGCATTTGAAATGTGACATCCTCCTAAGAGTGTGACAGTAATACATCAGACTACAAGGTACTTGACAACTAGTTAAACAAATTAGTTTTTCTTTTTTCAAATGTATAAATAATTTTTATTTAATCAAGTCAATTTTTTGTCGTTAGGGAGTACAATTTATATTCAATTTCCCCCCAAACTCATTCCCATACTTTGTCCACATGCCGTGAGAAATTTTTTATTATGTTTTTCTTTTTTTTCAATTATTTGTAAATTCGAAAGAAAAACTTATGAGAAAATTTCCGCCAATTACAATGATATGTTGTATATTTGTTACAATACACCTCTCATTTATTGTCACACAAAACACTATTTGGTAATTGTTAGCTATTAGCATTTAACTAGTTGAATTAGCGATGTTGACCGGCTGGTTGATTTAGCAATCTTGACTTGCCGATTCGGTTGGTTGATTCCCTTTAAATGTTTGGTAAAATTCTATGTTTATGATTAACCGTTACAGTGTCGAAATTGCACGCAAAAATTATTTGTTTGTTTGTTTGTTTTCCAAAGTGATTTAAATATTTAATAATCAACTACTGATAAGTATAATATTTCTTTCAAAAAAAATGGTTATAATAACACGTAGGACACACAAAAGGAGAAAATTTAAGATGCAAGAGTCGAGACTTTAATTTAATTTGTAATGTGGACAATCTATTCTAAAGCACTGCACATAGGGGCGTGTCCAAGTTAGCTTTTTGGAGTAAAAAAGGTTGTTCTAAGAAGCTCTTATAACAAATGTATGTTTTGCCATGTTTAAAAATCAAATCAGCCAAATATGGTCAAACCAACCAAAAAAGATTATAAGACATTTATCAAACAAAGACAAAAAAATACAAACCATTAAACATTTACTTTAGTTTTGATCCGCCCTATATTATATTGCTTCTTACGTGTTTATAAAAAATGAAATTAGAAGTGTCACCGGAAATAAATGACAACTCATGAATGACAAGTATGGTCACTCATAAAAAAACAAATGATGTAATGGCATCATCAGCTATTTAATATCACGTGAATGAAAATTACAATAATTTTGGATACTTTGCATAAACGTTACTTTTTGTAGTACATCATATCTTGCGTGTACAAAAATTTATTTTTGGATATGTACAAAATCTAATTTGAAAATTCAAAACATTATCTTATATAATTTTGGATATATTACCTAAATGTTACTTTATATAGCACAACATGCGGGTCTGGGGTTTGATTTGCTTCTAGAACTCTTTTTAAGGAGTCTAGAGGTAAACATGTGGCGGGTTTGATTTGCTTCTAGTTTATTTCGTTCATTTGCATATGTGAGTTCATGATGCGTTTCTACGCCTACTTGGATATTTGTAAATAAAAACAATAAGCCTTCTAAAGAAAAAAAAAATGATTTGTCGGAACATGCCCCAGATGATTGAAAACTACTCTATGATCTTCAAACTTTCTTGCTCAGAATCAGGTGCACTCAATCTGTCCTTGTACATAACCTGCTCGTTAAACACTACATCTCGGCTACGAATAATCTTCCTATTATGATCATCCCAGAATCTGTATCCATAGTCATCACCACCATAGCCAACGAACGTACATTTGACATATTTTGCGTCTAGCTTGCTTCGGTCAACGAAACTGAGATGAACATAAGCAACACAGCCAAATATGCGGAGATATGACAGATTGACCTCCTTACCCGTCCACCTTTTCTTCAGGTATGCCATTATCCAACGAGATCATTGGACTTCTGTTGATGAGAAAAGCCGCGGTGTTCACTGCATCCGCCCAAAACATCTTAGGTAAGCCACTATTCGACCTCATGCATCTAGCTCGCTCATTCAGTGTTCTGTTCATGCATTCAGCAACGCCATTATGATGTGAAGTCTCTTTAATTGTCTTCTCCATACGAACTCCATTCTCAGCACAAAACATCTTGAACTCATGCAATTCATACTCACCTCCATTGTCAGACCGAAGGCACTTCAATTTCAGACATGTCTCTGTCTCAACAAGAGCTTTCCACCTCCTGAAAGCATCAAAGGCATCAGATTTATTTTTGAGAAAATAAACCAACACCTTTCTTGTGGCATCATCAATAAAGGTCATGTAGTAGGCGGATCCTCCCAAGGATGTAACTTCTGCAGGTCCCCAAAGGTCGGTGTGAACTAGTTCCAGCTTCTCCAGTTTAATAGCTCATTTTCCCTTCGAGAAGCTGACACGCTTCTGTTTCCCGAATATGCAGTCCTCGCATAAGCCAACCTCAACAGTCTTCAGGCCGGGCAGTTTGCCCTTCGAGCACAGCTCCTTCATCCCCTTTTCGCTCATGTGACTGAGACGATAGTGCCACAAATTGACATTGTTCGCTGCAGCGGCAGCAACATCAATACAATCTTTAGAGTTCGTTGTCGTGTACAATGTTCCCTCTTTCTCCCATTTAGCAACCAACAAGGCTCCCTTGGTGATCTTCCCATTTCTGCTGCCGAATGTAACTGCATAGCCTTCCTCGTCCAGCTGCCCAATTGAAAGAAGATTTCTCCTTAAACCAGGAATGTGTCGGACTTCATTCAGTTTCAGCATGCATCCGTTCGGAGTCTTCACGTGGATTGTACCCTTTCCGACAATTTTAAGAGACTCATCATCAACAAGATACACCTCTCCAAAATTGCCGGGAGTATACTGATCCATCACTTCAGCATTACCACATGAATGGAACGAAGCTCCAGAACCCATGACTCGAACGGACTGCTCACGCTCAGGATCAGGAGATCATCGCCAGATGATTCTGCCGCTGCATTTGCAGATGTCTTCTCCTCCTGATCCTTGATCTGCTCCTTGTACTGGCTCTTGAAGTGTCCATACTCCTCACAGTTCCAGCACTTGATCCGACTCATGTCCTTCTTGCCCTTGCTGTTTGACTTGGATTTCGATCTTGATCTATCTCGATTTGATTTGGACTTCCAATTTTTTTTGCCCCGGTTCTCTGTACTCAACGCCGATCCAGAAGTCAAACCTGATTCCTTCCTGCGAAATTCTCCGCTCACCACCAAATTTCTGAGTTCATTGAATTTCAGTTTCTCCTTCCCTGCTGAAGCGCTGACTGCAGTCACCGTTTCGTTCCAGCTTTCTGGTAGAGAAGACAACAGAATTATGGCATGAATCTCGTCGTCGAATTTGATCTCAACTGCGCTCAATTGTGTAGTGATTAAATTGAACTCGTTGAGATGCTCCACATCTCCCGTACTTTTTGACATCTTAGGTTAAAAAGACGCCTCATCAGGTGAATCTTGTTCGCAACGGACGGTTTCTCGTACATATCCGATAATATCTGCAACATCTCCTTCGTCGTTTTTGCTTTGACGGTGTGTAGGGCGATATTTCTGGACAACGACAAACGAACCACGCTCATCGCCTTCCTGTCCAGCAACTTCCAGTCGCTCTCCTTCATGTCTTCCAGTTTGTCATCCAGAGATTGATACGGATCTTTACCGTACTGGTAATCTTCAATCTGCAACTTCCAGAAACCGAAATCAGTCCCATCAAACTGCATCAACAATGTCTTCAAATTGTCTGCCATCGTGAGATCTCCCTTCGAACCTAGGGCTCTGATGCCAATTGTTAGGAATTAAACTCACGCACACGAAGAACAATTAAAGAACACACGAAATTTGGTAACCCAGTTCGCCACGAATGACTACGTCTGGGGGCGCTACCAAGCCAAAAATGTTATTGCTATTTTCTGATCCACACATAATTACAAGGAAGAGAGCTTGTCTTTATAGAGAAGTAAACCCTAGCCCCAAGGCAACTAGGACGTGTTTCCTAAAATAAATTAAGAAACGTGTTTCCAAAAATAAATTAAGAAAAACTTACACTACAATAAAAGTGATTTGTAGAGGCATAACAAAATTGCCTCTAAAAATAGGAAAGTAGCCTCTAATGCTCTTTAGAAGCAACTTGGTGGTTGCCAACAAATACTCGGTCGCAAAATGATGGTTGCCTCTAAAAACTGTCTTTAGAGGCAAAAAAAATTATGCTTCTAAAAGATATATTTAGAAGCAACCATATCTCTTTGCCTCAAAAGGTCATTAGATGCACCATGTTATGTTGTCACAAAATGTTATTAGAAGCAACTACTTTTAATGACTCAAGATGTTAAAAGTAGGACGTGTTTCCTAAAATAAATTAAGAAACGTGTTTCCAAAAATAAATTAAGAAAAACTTACACTACAATAAAAGTGATTTGTAGAGGCATAGCAAAATTGCCTCTAAAAATAGGAAAGTAGCCTCTAATGCTCTTTAGAAGCAACTTGGTGGTTGCCAACAAATACTCGGTCGCAAAATGATGGTTGCCTCTAAAAACTGTCTTTAGAGGCAAAAAAAATTATGCTTCTAAAAGATATATTTAGAAGCAACCATATATCTTTGCCTCAAAAGGTCATTAGATGCACCATGTTATGTTGTCACAAAATGTTATTAGAAGCAACTACTTTTAATGACTCAAGATGTTATTAGAGGCACTATTATATTATTATATATCACCCCTAAAAATCATTCAATGCAATTTAATTTTTATCGTAATCAATAGACGCCCAATTCCATACTTCTTTAAATATTAACAAATCTCTAATACTAACATAAAATATGACATAAATAGATGCTTTCCTTACATAACACAAAATATCAATATAAATTTTAATTTAATA